TGGAAAAAGCAGAATCTAAGAGAATAAAAAGATCGATAGTTTCAAAAGAGCACAACTGTTCTTTTGATAGAGGGTTCGTGCTTTTATCTGCGTTACACCTTCAATTTCTCCATGTTGCAGGCAGGCTCCACAGCAATGTAGCAAGCCATGCCCAGACTTTGTGGCTTAGAAGCACCTGCTTTTACTTGCCCATATGTCCTTAGATCAGAAATTCAGCTTGTTAATTCCTATCATCTTGTTTTGAAGGTGTCTATCCTTTTATCATTTTTGGTTTGTTTTGTTTTCATTTTTGTCATTGCTATTTTGTTATTGATTTTTTTCCCTTTAAAATAAAAAAAAGAACCGGTCGTGGTGGTGCATGCCTGTAATTCCAGCACTTCGGAGTTTGAGGCCAGCCTGGGCTACACAGTGAGCTCAAGGCCAGCCTGAGCTGCATAGTAAGACACTGTCTCAAAAAGACCAAAAAATTAAATAAATTAAATAAAATAAAAAAGAAATTCACTTAGGCTGGAAGGTTATTTTTGGTTTACATGTAGTCACGTGGAGTCATTCTCTCAGCTACTGTCAGGTGGTGGCTCTGCTAGGCTGCAGACCCAAGGAAAGGAGCTTCGGTCTCCTGCTTGTTGGCTGTTTTGCCACTCCTCTATATGATCTCCCTTTCTCCCTGTGGGGAGCTTTGAAGCTCAAGGACTGTAGATTTCTTTCTTATATGGCTCTATCTCCCCAGAGGGAGTTCACCCTGTGGGAAAGGAACTATTCACGTGTTCAAGGCCTTGCTTCATATATATTTAAGCTACTTCATTAAATTCTACCTGTCAAATCAAATTAAAGGGGAGGAAAAATTGTTTGTACCTCTTTACTGAGTGCAAATAATTGGTAATCATCTTCTGTTTACCATACCATTCTGCCTCATGGAGAACAGTCTAGGTGAAAGTAACCAATTTGAAAGAGACCTATTAAACATTTAAAACAAACAAGCAGACACAGGTTATCACAGACTCCTCCCTTAATACTTATAAGAGCTGATTTAACATGCTGCCAGATATTTTCTGAAATATACGGAGTGTTAGAAATAAACCATGTGTATAAGCTCATGTGGAAGGACTCTGACTAATTACATTATAATAACTAGGCAAGAAAATCAAAAACGAAGGACAACAATCCTAGTGCAATATGCTGCAGGCAATATATTCTGTAAAACAGCAATACAGAAACATATACACGGAAAATACAAATTGCCTAATATATGACACTCATTCATAGATACTATCATACAATTATAGAAATATAAATTCACAATATTTATCTTTGGAGGGATGTTCTTAATTAATGATCACACTTCTCCTGAATTGTCTGAGAAAGTGAACAGGAGGGAGTTTCTTTAGTTCTCAGGCAGAGGGAGTTCCTGAGAAATTTAGGTGGACTATGATATAATTTTTTGGGAGACAGATAGCAATGGGGAACACTATTTCTTGGGGGAGACAGAGCAAGAGAAAGAATGGAAATTCCGAGTTTTCAATTTTCAACAGTTTTGTTGCGTGATATTTTTGTGGGGATGACAAGAGGTGCTAATCTTTTTTAACACACCAATATTATTTATCATAATATCTTTATTTTATTTTATTTTATGTTTTATCATAATATCTTTAAACCACAAGAATATACTAATTTAACAAAACATGTTGAATCTTTTCAGGGAACTTTTGAAAGCTAGAGAGAGTGAAAGACAGGAAGGAGGAAGCTATCCTTCCTTATCCCTTTCTGTTAGCCAGAGGCCTCTACAGCCTTCCGGATTTGGTTCCTGTGAAAAGATGCTTCAGGTGCATTTGGCTAAGAAGGGGGTGAGTGGAACCTGTGAACCTGGTTCTTGGTGGCATCTGTCTACTTCTCTTGCAAATTTCCTCTCTGAAACTACTTTCTGCTCCAGGATGCATATTCTTGTCCAGGTGCGCTGTGTGTTCCCTTCTAGTGACTGAACAATCAATTGGCAATTTGCATGTTTGTTTTAAGGAAACTTTACCGGTTGGCTGCTAGTTGTGTAGCAGGGAAGGGTTTGGAGCGTGGAAGATGGTGACAGTGATTTGCACCAGGGACCACCCATTAACCTTGGAACTGTGCTCCTGCCCCTTGCTGAGGGTCAAGCCACTCTCAAGGTACTCTGAGTCCTATCTGTACTCATCAAGTTAATGATCCAGAGGCAACTCACAGGAAGTACTTGGCTTTTCCCCGAGCATCTTCTCACAGGTGGAAAGGAACATTCAAGGATCACATGAGACGAGGAAGGGAAATGAAGAAGGCAAAGTAAGGGGGATGGAGAAAGCAGGGCTGGTAGGCCTTGGTGCTGGTGAGAAAGCCTTGCAGGCACCCAGAAGCTGGTTAACATGAACATTAGGATTCAGTGTGTTCAATTCCTCTTTGCAGCTGCTTCCTCTGTGAGTCAGTGATAAACTGCTTACGTTCACCCCTCCCCTTCAAGCTGGGGTGGACCTCCTCACAGAGTCTCTGTTCTGCTTTAGGCATTTGTGACCAGGCAATTTCTTGTCTTCCAGGAACATGATGTTCACTCATTGGATTTCCATCCGGCCTCTCCCTATTGTGGGGCAATAGAAGCAGGCTAGGGAAGCATCAGCCTAATCATGTCTGATTCCCCACAGAGCTGCCTGGACCCACTAGATTCATGAGAGTCGAGACATATTAATTGTTCTGTGGAAGGCCATGCAAATTACAGTCAGAAAGGGTGGGATTCTGGTATAGATCTGCCAGCTGAGAGCTTTCCTGGTTTTTGGCAAATATTTGACTGGGGGGTCTCCGGCTGCCAAGTGTACATTCCTGTTCATGTATGGGTATGCAGCATCCCAGCTCCATCACCCTCACCTCTCTTCCTATATTAGGACAAGTGGAGCCCCAGCCACGCCCATGCTCCAGCCTGAGCTGTGAATAGGCACAATGACCAAACATTTATTTCTGATATCTCCCTTCCGTCTCCTTCATTCCAGCCACTGAAGATTGATGCAGCTCATAGTAAACACTTTAAGATGCCAAATTGAAAGTGTGAGAATGGATCTTTGCTTAGCTTCAGTGATTTTATTGTCTATTGTGGGAGCTCCTGACCCAGGCCAGCGCAAGGGCTCACATTCCTCCTTACTCCTGTGTGTCCACCATTACCCTGTCACCAGTGTTACTCCTCCTCTCTCTCCCAGTTATGGCTCTGGGTTATGGCTGTTTCTCTCCTCTCTTTCAGCCTCCCATTTACAGGGTGATCACGCAATTCTAGTATAAAAGAGTGAATTTGATTATTTTAAAAATTTATTTTGCCATTTTGATTATAGTAGTAATCATTTCACAATGGAGACTGATTCATAAATGAAAGACACGGCATACTGGACAATTTGATTTTTTTTGAAACAGCCTCTCACTGAGTAATCCAGGTTGGCCTTGAGCTCACCGCAATCCTCCTGCCTCAGCCTCCCCAGTGCTGGAATTACAAGGGGTGCACCACCACGCCCCTCTATACCAGGCAATATGAAGAATATTTTGTAAACTTCTTGCAGCTACCATTTCTTCATCTTATCTCAACACCTGAACTCTGAGATAACTGAATATTTTTTCATCAAACATTTATGGTGCCCTTACTTGGGGCCTGGCACTTTTAGAGCCCTTAGGGAAAGGGCAGGTGGCAAAATGGAGTCCCTTCACTGCATGGACTTACATTCCAAGGTGGAAGCGGATGCTGACTAAAGTGCTATGCAAGGTGGTGGTTGTGCTTATGGTGATGCTGTATAGACGAACGGAGTGAGGTAAGGGGAGAGAGAATGCCAGCAGAGAACAGTGTTATGACAGACGAGGTGGTCATGAAAACCCTCTCTGAAAGGAAAGGGAAAACGAGTCAATCAGCCAACGGGAGAGACAGCCTTGTACAGCAGTCTCATTACAGTTGACCAGGGCGCTTGAAGAGCAGAGGCAGCGGAGAGGCAGGGCCCTTTGCAGGCCGTGACCACGAGTTTGCCTTTTCTTTTCTTTCTTTCTGAGTGAGAAGGGAAACTTGGAGGGTTTTGAGCAGGGGCTTGAAAGGATTTAACGTTCCTTCTGCAAGATTCCTGTTCCTACTCTGCATAGAATGTCTTGTAGGAAGAGAAGAATAATAGCCGAGGACTATTTGCAGCGAGCTGGGTGAGAAACGCAGGTTGGGGTCAGGGTAGCAGTGGAAGAAGTGATTGAATTTGGGGAACTGTTTTAAAAGCAAAGCCAGTACTGTATGTGGGCTCTAAGTTGCTGGACCCAGCAGTTGTCAACTACTTGAATAATCACATTTCAAAAGAGAACTCAAAATTATCTAAAAACACAAACCTCTAAACGGTTTATGCATTGTTATGAAAGGAATGTTACCCAGAAATAAGGGCACGAACACCAACATGAAATAGTCAAGGATAAGACCACTGCAAAAGGTTATGGGATGCTAATTTCACAGAACTTATTATGTTGAAACGATTTAGATTTTTTTTTTAAAGAGAAGCATACAATATCATTAATGTTGCTTTGTCTTGAAAGATGGGTCCCAAGAGGGTCTTCGGGACTCTGACAGGATGTGAACTCCAGCGATGCGGCCAGCAGTGTCAGTATTTCTCCGTTTGAGATTTAAATAAAGAAGGAAAAGTGTTAAGAAAACAGTGTGTCAAACAACCTAGTGATCCCAGACTCACAAAGGAACACTGCTTGGAGTGAGTCAGCGGGGAGTAGGGTTTCAGCCAGAGCACGTCGGCAGACTCTGACCGAGGAGCCACAGTGCGCGTTCAGTCTTCTCCCACATCTCCTCTGCCGGCTTTCCGACCAGTACCTGTCAGCCTCTGACTGACCAACCGCCGCGGCGCTGCGACCTTCCGGTTCCCTTCTCTTGCTACGCCCTCCCGGACAGCGTCCGGAACCCGGGCCGCCCCACCCTGGCCACGCCCCCACCCTCCGCGCAGCCCCGGGCCACACCCTCCCGCCGCGCCGCGCGCGCCGGCGCACTGGCCGGCCGAGTAGCCTTGTGAGCGGAGCTTGCGCAGCCGCCCGGACCCACCTCTCCCACCCCCACCCCGGCCGCCGAGCGCCTCCAAGGACGCGCATTTCCTGCGAGGCCTCAGAGTGCCCTTTGGCCGAGCCAAACCGAACCGAGGAGCCCAGCCCTTCGAAGCAGGTCGCGATGGTGGACGAGCTGGTGCTGCTGCTCCACGCGCTCCTGGTGCGGCACCGCGCGCTGAGCATCGAGAACAGCCAGCTCATGGAACAGCTGCGGCTGCTGGTGTGCGAGAGGGCCAGTCTTTTGCGCCAGGTACGTCCGCCGAGCTGCCCGGTGCCCTTCCCCGAAACGTTTAACGGCGAGAGCGCCCGGCTCCCCGAGTTTATCGTGCAGACGGCGTCTTACATGCTCGTGAATGAAAACCGATTCTGCAACGACGCCATGAAAGTGGCATTCCTAATCAGCCTGCTGACCGGGGAAGCGGAGGAGTGGGTGGTGCCCTACATCGAGATGGATAGCCCCATCCTAGGCGATTACCGGGCCTTTCTCGATGAGATGAAGCAGTGTTTTGGCTGGGATGACGACGAGGACGACGAGGACGATGAAGAGGATGATTACTAGGCCTGGAGCCCCTTGGGCCTCGAGGGGGAGGGACCCGCACGCCACCTCCCCCACCCCCTGCCGCTCCCGAAGCTGCAGCGTTCAGCCCTTCTTTGCCTCCTGTGTCCTCGTTCTCTACTCGTTATGCGCTGTAGTGCTTGTCTTTGTTCCAGGAATAATGCTCCAATTACCTGCTGTGGGGCCTGGGGCTGGGCCTTGCCCTGAAGCATGCTGTGTCAACTCTGCCCAGTCCCAGCCCCCTTCCTCTGCTACTGTGAAGGGTTCTCCTCGCCCCAGTTGTTGGCCAGGCCCCCGTCAAAACTGGTCCGGCCACCCACAGTCCTGCTGCTGCCACCCACCCACCTGCCTGCCAGGCGTAGTCTGCCCAGAGACTTACGCCGCCACTTTACCACCATCTACTGCATCCCACCTACAGACTACTGCTTTTGGAGATAAGGACCGACCTAGAAGATGCCTGAGTTGGCTACACTCTTCGGACACTGATTTGGACAGCTCACCTGACCCTGAAAGGGCCAGTCTTTACAGCTGGTTAGTTGTTCATCCACGGCCCAGGTTCCTTTCCTGCCCTACTAGATTGCTGCGGGAGCCTGGTGTGCCTGGCAGCCAAGACACTGACATTTCTTTTCTCGTATGCACCAGTTTTGCACAGCTGTTGGTTGTTCATAATCGCAGCAGTCTCACACAGATGTGTGTGTATTTGGACAAGTGATATTAAAAACAATGAAGCAAATAAGCAGAAACGGGCACTCAATCCAGCTCCTCAATACTATCTGGAAAAAGCATTAGCATCCTTTTCAATAAATATCAAGCACTACAAAAATTAGAGTTGTTGTCTTTTAATGGTGAAGCGTTATCATTGGCCTCTGCCACTCTCACTTTTCCCCTCATTAGTCCCATTGAGATCAGGGTACCCAGTTCAATCCCAGTATTTCCCATTTTCATCTCTAGCGGACAGAGAGCAGCAAGCACAGGGCTATGTGATGTTCTCCACACCAAGGTATTTCTTAAAGACTTGGTGAAAGGGATGGCTTCTGGAGCCCTGAACGTGGCATAGGTAAAGGCTGGCTGAACAGGTGGCTCATCATCCCAAACCAGGACACTGGAGAATGAAAGGGGGCCTTGTTAATATTTAGACTAAGACAACAGGCATACACCTTAAAGCCCCTACTTCCCGGAGCTTTCAGGTTCTTAGCATTGCCGGGGAAATTCTGCCCCTCAGTCCTTATTGCCTAAGGGCTGTTGAATTCACACTTCATTAAACAACATGGTACATTACTTTAATGCTACTTTCAGATGTTTAAACTAATGTTAAATCCTGGATCCTGTGTAAGGGTACCCATGATTTATATAGCCAGATTTTTACATTTTCTTAGAATGTCCACTGGTACATGTGCCCCAGATTCCTACCTAGAAATTGGCAAGATGCTGGGGTATCTCTGGAACCAGACCTTGTGCTTCTGTTTGGGCAGTGGAAGAGGGTTTGGGTGGGTTCTGAGAAAAATCTGCACACCACAGTGTGTCTGAAACCCTAGGTGAAGTCACTGAAATGTGTAAAGCAGAGAGACTTGGTGGAGGGATTTGTGGGGGTTGTCTCTGGCAGTTAGAACTGTTCAAGAAAATTCCAGGGGCTCTGACTTCCATTTTTACATTTACCTGTGTGTCCTCAGGACCAACAATACCAATGTAGGATAAAAGGCATAACTACCCTGCTCCTGTGCACAAATAGCTCCAGGCGAGAAGAAAACTGAAATTGAGTAAAAGCAACCTACTTGTTTCTGCAAAGGCTGGAACGCAGGTATGTACAGGGCCAGTAGCGGCAGAGAAGAGGTAACAATCTGATCTGTCTGTAAGCAGTCAGAAATACAGGCCCTAAGGTTGGATTGACTCCAGGCATTTAATTCATTAGAATAATACATTTTCCTTATGCTTTAAAACTCTTTGAAGAAGGATGTTTTTTTTGTTTGTGCTGGTAATGCAAGTGTGGATCAAATATCAGATGTTAGTCACCTACTAGTAACTTTATAGGTGTGAATTAAATTAATTTCCGCTCACAGGGCCTTTAGAGCTGCCCTGGCTATATTTTGAGCGCTCGGTGTCTATGACTTAATACTCACAGGTGTGGAAAACAAAATCTCAGAAAGAGGTCTCTGGTTATGAGTTTGATTTTTGTAGGAAATGTCAGGGGTGAAGATTGCTAGAAATGGAGACATTCATTCCAAATTTGATTTGATTTTGAGAGGAGCTGGTGATACACTGATGAGTGAAATATGGACCTTACCCTCATAGTAGTTCAAATGTGCTGTTTTTTAGATGGCAAGAAGTGTGATAATAGCTAGTTACAGAGCCAGACCAGGAAGAGAATCTGACCTGTGATTAGATCTGGGAGTGACCTTTCTTGGCTGGCAGTTGAAGATAAGCCCAGCAAACAGACACCCCATGGGGAAGGAAGGTGTCTGTGATCCCTGAGGATGCTATGGTGTGGCAGCATCTAACTAGCCTTCAGGAGAGGTGGGCCAAGGAGCTCAGGGATCTGAAATGCAGATGTCCCGAACGTGTGCAAGTGCACATCAGGTTGCCATGGCCGTGTGCATGCCTGTGTGGGGGTGCGTACACAATGTCTATCCTTCATGCATTGTGGAAAACGTTATTCTGTGAGCTTCAGGAAAGTGTGACACTCTGATTACTTTGGGGGCAGATTGCACAATGAAAACGAGCATGGCAAGGGCTCTAGGAATTCATGAAAATGGCATAAGGTATTGCAAAACTAAGAAAATGATAAGCATATCCACAACAAAATCACCAGTAGATGAAAACCATTAAAGATAGGTAGAAATGCTGAAATAACAAATATGACCTTCAGACTTCTCAATTCTCATTTTGAGCATACTACTGTTGAAATGGTTACTAGACTTGAAATGGTTACTAAAGTTATCAATGAAATGAAAATCGTATTAAAGGTCATAATCATTTAATCATATTAAATTTACCACTATGTCTTTGGGTTTTATTTATTTGAATAGGTAAGCACTGCCATTCATAATTCTATGTTGTCATGCTTTGCAGTGCTGTATATAAACCTAGAGCTACAGCAGGCACATTGTATAATTGATCAGTTTCTGTTGCTAAAACGGTGAAAATGTCAGCAACTTGGAGGCAGGCTAGAGGGAGAAATCTTTTTGAGTTCTAGGTTCTTAAACAACTAAAACTAAGCTACTAAAGCAGTGTCAGTGGAAGATCCTGAGTATGTTTTCCTCAGTGGTAGGATTGAATTATTGTATAAAGAAGATCTTTGCTTTGGAATATAGATTTTGCTAAGTACTGTCAAAAGTGGCCACAGTTAGCATTACTGAGTAGATCAAGTATATTCTCTATGGTTTCAGTATATTTAGTTCCAAAGGTGGATTTCATGTTTTCTGTCTTTGTGGGTCCTGGGAACCTTCCACCTCCCTTAATGAAAATTTGGTCATTTGCCTTGCATTATTTCTTTCCCCTGACTGAATGGCCTGTTGGGATTCTCCCCTTTGTCCTCAAATGTTGTGTTGCCTGAAGACATTTTATTTTATTATTTTATTTTATTTTACCCTGAGATGGACAGTAGAGCATTTGAAGGAACTGTGAACACCATCGTGGGATTTGCTAATGAAACAGAAGCACTCCTCCATATGAGTCTGTGGGGAGAGTGGGTTAGGTATGAAGTGCTTCAAAGGATATTTCAGAATACCCAGATGAAGTAAAATTCGTATTGCTCTCTTCTTTTTTTCTCATGATCATATCTGCAACATGTGCATGCTGCCTCTCCCCAAATGACCAATGGTTTCATCAGCAAAATTGAAATATGTTTCATATACGTTAGCTAAAATCCCTAAATGGTAAGTTTAATTGAATTGACCAGTGAGTTCGAATTATCCAGTTAATTCAAGATACAAAACTGTCACATATATATATATATATATATATATATATATATATATATATATATTTATATGGCTCATTTTAAAGCTTTACTTTTAAAACTATCAGTGAAAGAATGTAAAGGGAATTATATTTCAGTGGTAACTGAAGCCATTGTGGTATTTTTGATTTATCTATTCTCTAGACACCTGTAAATGCACTGCTGTGTAGGACTTGTAGAAACTGCTCATTCAAACATATACACAATAAAAACTCCAAACATACAGAAGTAGGGAGAATGGTGTAATGAGTTCCCATAGATTCATTTCTTGGATTCAGAAATGATTATCATCTTTGCTCCTTCTGCCACTTTTCTTTCCTCAAATTTTAGTGGCGTACTTTAAAACCAATCCCGGATATCATATCAATTCATCCTTCGACAATTCAGCATGTTTGTATAACAGACCTTCAAAAACAAACTCTACAATATTATCATCACACCTACTAAAATTAACAATTGTTAATCTAATATTTGATACTCAATAATACTACAATATCTTCAGTGTTTTAGAACTGTCTTTTTAATTTTTTAAAAATTAGGTTTCTACAAAGGCGAGCACATTACATTTGGTTTATACAGCTCTTAAGCATCTTTTAATTGATAACAGTTCTTCTCACCCTTTTGTTTTCCTGTAATTTATTCATTGAGGAAACAAGTCATTTCTTCTATGGATTTTCCTATATTATGGATTCGCTGTACAGTTTTCATATGCTTGTCCAGCTTTCTTTTGAATTGTTAGTGTTATTTCTATTACTTGTAGAAGCTTGCTATTAGTGATCAGCAATATATATTGCAAATATTGGTCTAGTTTGTCATTTGCCTTTAAAATTTCTTGATAATATTTCTGGCTGGTTTTTTTGGGGAGGTTTTTTTTTTCATTTTAAAAATTAAAAAACTGATAAAACAACAATGAAGACAAAATCAAACATTTAATATATTTCCACTTTTTTCTATTCTCTCATCCTATCTTTGTGCTGTCCAATTTAATTGCTATTATTATTTATCTTACTGCTTATAACTTCAAATAGTTTGAAAATAATTTAAAATTATTTACAAATCTAAAATATTTTTCAGGTATAATTATTTTTGACACTCAGCCATGCAGGATGATGAACTCAACATAGACATTAATATTCATTACCTGTCATCTTTTTAAGTGCTATCACTTTTGTGTTAACATTTACATATTTTCTTCATTTCTCTGTGAATGCTACCTTCACATCTATTTTAATATATCAGATAAATTGAATAAATAATTGCTAACCTATCCAGCTTTTCAATATATCTCTTTGTGTTAGCTAGATTTTGGTTTTTATTTTTTGTCTTTAAAAAAATCTGCTGAGAATAATATCCTTGGAGTTTTTTGAAGGTGAATGACAATTACCTTATTCATAGAGCTTGTGGGCTGCACTCTCTACATTCTCAATGCTCCAGTACCTTTTAGTATTGACCATTGTTGTAGATGTCTGAGTGCATCCTATTACTTTCCACTCATGCATTGTTTGAGATTTTTAAGTCCAGGAAGATTTTGTTTATATTTGAATAAGACATACCTCAGTGTTCATCCTTTGTCATTTGTTCAAATATGCAATATGACAATTAAGCCTGTAGATTCCAGGCTTTAACTTATTCAATATTTAATACACATATAAATATGTATGTAATATCTACTAATGTATGTAATATCTACTAAGTTTATGTTGACAGTCCTTTATTTGCCCTCCTTATTTTAAATTTTTTGAGATTTTGACACGTTCGTTCTGCTTACATTTCTAAATCTTGTTCTCTAAGTCTTATAAAAAATTTTAAGCTTTAGCTGTCATTCTTTTATCTTTCTTCCAATTAGGCCTTAAATCCTGGGATAGTTTTGT